GAGGCCTCCTGTGTGCTTCTCCCCAGTGCTGCCCTCTCCTCTGGCATTTACCATTTGAATATACCCCTAAACAACAGGCACTGCCATTCTGCATGTTTTAAAACTTTACATAAACTGTATTGTTTAATATATATATATATCTCCTATATAATAAAAGGCTAATATGCAAATTGGCCCCTCAGAAATTAAACCAACCGGGAGTTTGACCACTCGCTATGATGTGTGCTGACCACCAGGGGGTGTCGTGGAACAAAGGAAGGCCCCGGCTGGCAGCTGGCAGCTAGGGGAAGGAAGGCCCCAGCCGGCAGCCAGAAGGCCCCAATTGGCCCTGATCGCCAGCCAGACCTAGGAACCCTACCCATGCATGACTTTCGTGCACCGGGCCTCTAGTATGTATATATATGTATATGTATATGTGTATATGTATATATATATGTATATGTATATATACACATATGTGTATATGTATCCTTTGGATTTTTAAAAATATATATTTGTGTTGATTTCAGAGAGGAAGGAGAGGGAGAGAGGGAGATAGAAACATCAATGATGAGAGAGAATCATTGATCGGCTGCCTCCTGCACGCCCCCTACTGGGGATTGAGCCTGCAACCTGGGCATATGCCCTTGATAGGAATCAAACCCGGAACCTTTTAGTCTGCAGGCCAACAACCGCCTACGGTTCCTTTGGACTTTTTTTGTTCAATGTTGGTTTTTGAGATTTATTGACCTTACACATGTAGCTCTACTTGTTTTATTTTGAACTGTAATATTATATTCCATTGTACAAATACACTCAATATGTTTAACCATCCCCTTTTGGTAGACATTTATAATATTTCCAATTTTTCATACATCAGTGATGCAATACACATCTTGCATATGTCTCTTTGTGACCAATATATTTGGATTTATTTCTACTTTTCCATTTTGTGCTATTTACTCCTCTTTTTTTGGTACTCTTTTTTTCCTCTCCCTGCCTATATTTAATAGACTTCCTTTATTCCATTTCCCTGCTCAATTGATTTGAAAGTTATATAATCTATTTGTTATTACTATTATTCTAGACTCAAATTCTAGACTTACAGACTAACTGTTCCCCAGTTCTGCTCCCCATCTGTTCTCTTTTCTCTCATATAAATAGAACTTCCAACTTAGCAGAGCACATGGTTATCCAGAAAAACTCTATACTGTCCAACCTCCCTGCAGCTGGGTAATCGAGTTTTTGCCAATGGGATACGAAGGAAGGAATGAATGCAACCTCCAGGTCATGCACTTACAAGGAAGGGGTTGGGTGGACATCAGGATAAACCACCTTCAAACATGCAGCAGGTACCACCCTGGAATTAGGCTGCTTCTGTCCGAGATACTAAAGCAGAAGGAAATAAGCATCTGTCTGGTTTAAGCCATTGCTATTTTGGGTTCTTTCTTACAGCATCCACACTACGATCTAGCTAATACAGCAGGCGTGGATTAAAATGAAATTTATCTCACTTACACTCATTCTGCTTCCTGAATCAAGTTTGGAGAATTTTAAGCCATTATTTCTTTGAATATTGGCTCTCCTTCACTCCCTTCCCCACTTCTGAAATCTTATATAGGATCCTGTCATTCTAGCATCCATGTCTCAGCCTCTGCTTCTTTACCTCTCTGTGCTGCATTCCGCACGATTTCCTCAGGCCCCTATTTCCATTCATCAAGTCTGTCTTCAGTGGTGTCTAATCTGGTGTCTAATCTACCCACTGAACATTTATTTATTTATTTGAAATTCTTTTCATCAATTTTAGAGAGAGAGGAAAGGAGGTAGAGAGAGAGAAACATCGATCTGCTGCTCCACTTATCCACGCTCTCTCATTGGTTGATTCCTGTATGTACCCGACCGGGGATCGAACCCACAAATTTGGTGTGTCAGGACGACCCTTGAACCAACGAGATACCCAGTGAGGGCTACCTACTGAACATTTAATTTCAATGAAACATGTTTTTACTTCTAGCAGTTCTACTGGATTCTTTGTAAAGTCTACCTGATCTTTCTGAATAGTGTCTTATGCTTGTCTCATGTTTTCAATTACTTCATTATGTCTTCAATATTTTGAACTCATTTATTTACAGTATCTTACCAACAGTTCTATTATTATTTGTTCTTGGGGTGTGGGTGTCTAGTCCAGTTGTTTATTGTATATTTGGACTCTCACTCACTGTACATTAGTCTCTCAATATTTAGTTATTTTAGATCATATATTCATCTTTACTGAGGCTCTCCCCCCACCCCCCCTGCGGGGATTCTGTGTCTGTTCCTACAAGCTCTCCCAGGGGTATCTCTGGCCCAGGACTTAGGGTTCCTTAATTCACACGGATAGTATAAATTCTAATGTTAAACCAGTATCATCAGGTTCTCAGGGAACTTTTTTTTTTTTTTTTTTGCCCAGAGCCTTGGCTGAGTATGAGAAGCTGTTCCGCCATCGCCATCTCCCTGCGCTGGTGGGTGTTTTCTCTGCCACCTTGTCATTTAGGGTAAAGCCCTTGAATAGTCCTGACTTTACAGGGAAGGTTCAGTGTTAGGCCCAGCTTCCAAATGGCCAGACCTCATTTCTATCTCCACAGATGTTAACACTCAAGCCTCAAGCCTTTCATGACTCAAGGGAGGCCAGTCACACACCCCATCCCACTCAGCTGCCAGAGCTGGAGTCCCACGTGGGTTTTTCCTCTTCGTTCTGCCCACTGAGGATTCCTCTTTTTTCAGTGGACGACTTCAAACTGAGAAGGGTAGTTTAAACGTTTAATGCAGTATGCCTAGGTGTTTCATAATGGCCACTTTTTAGGTTATTTGTTGTCCATATAACCAAAAGGAAGTCTCCTCCCTCTGAGACGTGCTTAGACCCGTGGGCTGATCCCCACTGATCCTTGCCTTCCCTCACACACCTTTCCCAATACCGTGACCTAAGGCAAGGTTTTCAAGCTTTACAGTGTTGAAACCAATTTCTGGAAGCTTGTTAAAGATGCAAATTAACAAGGAGACTTGGCTCAGGAGGCTTGGGGTGGGGCCCAGGAATGCATCTGCTTCACAAACAAGCCAGGTTTCTGGCACAGGTGGTCCAGAGAACCACCTGTCTAAGGCCTGCTTCCCGGTCCCTGAGGGGGCGGATTCTACCCTTTATATTTGCAGCGCCGGAACCATATCCGTAGGAACCCTGCCAATCTGTTCTGCAAAGCGTGAATGAGATGGCAGTGCCAACAGGCCCAAGGTTCATGAGTTCTAGTCCTGGCTAGTCAGGGCCATTCCCCTCAGCAGTGTAAAGGTCGAGTTTGAAACTTATCTTCCTGGACTCCAGGTCGTGGGCCTATTCTGAACACAGGTCACTTACTGAGGCTTTACTCATCGAGACTTTGACATTACTTGGAGAGGAGTGGATGAATTTTACTTTTGTACTTTGAAAGAAGGGTTTGCTAAGCAGATGGAGACTATAAACAAAACTATAGAGAGAATGGTTGATTCAATTAAGATTATATATATACATTTTTAAGTGCAGGTGTCTATTCTCTAGATGGGTTATGCTCCAAAGAAACAGCCATTTAGCCCGGCCAGTGTGACTCAGCTGGTTGAGTGTTGGCCCATGTACCAAGAGGTCCCCGGTTCGATTCCCATACATGCGTGGGTTGCCAGCTTGATCCCCAGTAAGGGGCATGCCAGAGGCAGTCAATACATGATTCTCTCTCATAGATGTTTCTCTCTCTCTCCCTTCCCCTCCCTCTCTCTCTAAAATCAATAAAAACATTAAAAAAAAACAACCCTCAGCCATTTAGAATGTATCTTCCCATAGAAACATTATAAATGGTGGTCACTTTCCCAGACCAGCCCACCCAAGTCTGTAAAGATAATAATTGTACCCATTTAGACCTATTCTATGCCAGAACCTTTGTATATGTGATCTGATAAAATTCTCAAAATAACTCCAACAGGCAGGCATTTGTGTCCCAGCCTTAGAGGTGAAGGGACTTGCTCAGGGTCACAGGGCTAGTAAGTGGCCGAGCCAGGTAAGTCTGGCCCCAAAGCCTGTGTCCTTGTCACCAGGAAAGCAAGCTGCCTTCCTCGGCTCCTATGCTTACTAGAGGGTGAGCAGTAGGATGGAGATTTCCAGTCTTCGCTCCTAAAACGTCCTCCTCCCCACCGTTGAAGAGATGTTAAGGGAATATTAGGACCTGCACTGCAGCCACATGTGACTCAGAGGGTGACGGAGAACCAAGATTAGTGTCACTTCATTGGTGTGCCCTGCGAAGAAGCAGGGCAGGGAAGAATGCCAGGTGACAGCTTACTACACTGCTTTGATTTTGGACTTAAAAACAACAACTACCTTAGGTGGGTTTCATTTTGCATGTGTGAAAAACATCTTATTCAAAGCAATGAGTAGTAACTAAGCCCTAAGGATCAAATGCACAGAATAGTGAATACAGACCACAGTATCCTATATAATAAAATCGTAGTATGCAAATTGTCCCCTCGACTGGGAGTTGTCCGGGAGTTCGACCAGGGGGCAGGGCTGGCCAGGGGAAGGGAGGGAGGCCCTGGCAGTGGTGGCAGGCAGCCGGGGGAAGGGAGGGAATACCTGGCCAGCAGCCAGCAGCAAGCAGCTGCCAGGGACCCTACCAGTGCCTGAATTTTGTGCACAGAGCCTCTAGTTGTATTATAATCATCAAACTTGCTACGAGACTAGAATTTAATTATCCAACCACTAAAAAGAAATGATAGTTGTATAATGTGATAGAGCTTCTAATTAGCACTATGATGGCAGTCATATTACAATAGATAAATGTGTTGAATTAACATGTTGAACACCTTAAATTACACAATGTTATGTCAAATATATTTCGATTAAAAATAAATAAAATAAACCCCCCAAAAAAGGAAGATCACTCTCCCCAACTCTCGCTCTCTAATGCTGGCCCTCTCTGATGCGGGCCTCTGCAGTGAGGGTAGGCAGCTCCCTGTTCTCCAGAACTCACCTTGTCAGAAAGCAGCTCCCTTATCTTGCTGGCCTGCAGGCGGAACCGCACAAGCTGGGTTTCCAGGGCCAGGTAGCGTTTCTGCCAGTCCATGCTGGTCTGGGTCTCCACCTTGGGCTCGGCCATGATGGAATCAACTTTTGGATATTCAGGGACCCCTGAGAACCAGCACACAGAGAGAGGAAATAACAAGTAAGTGTGGGAGGAAGGGTTACGTGGGGAAAGGAGGAGAGGAGACCAGAGGAGGACAGAGAAAACAGAGCTGGGGAGGTTAAGTCAGCCCCTGTCCCTCTGTCCCATGGCCCCTGTCGCTGGCTCAGTGCGTCACGTCTCAACATAAGTCAGTTGAGCAACTTCAGGGGATCACAAAACCAACCCGAGAAACCACAACGAGAACCTGGTGTCATTTTTACAAAAGTGAAACATGGGGCTCGTTGGTTTTTCATTCAATCATTCCATGTAACAAGATTTTAGCCACTCAACAAACATGTACGTGCCAGACACTGTTCTAGGCACTGGAGATGCAAAGATAAATAACAGAGGTCTCTCGCATTTGCATTTTTCAAGAAAGTCTAACTGCAAAATTCCAAGGCCGTCACAATAGCTCATCAGTATACAGATAAACAGGAGCACGGAGATGGGGCCGGCTGTGCTGGGGGCGGATGAGGGGGGTGCTGAGTTCACGCAGCTAACTGAAGGGAAAACTCTGGTTTCCAGGTGAGCCCTGGTTCTACCACAGCTACGTAGATGTCGGATGGGGACACGTGGAAAGAAAATGTAATGCTCTGAATTTCCCTGACAGTATTCTATTTAGTTGGGATTTTGTCAGTTGTTGTCATTGAATGTCCTGCACTGGAACAGATCCTCATTCTTTCCTTTAAGTTATAAAACGAAGACCAGAAAATGGTAGATATTTTTGCTGCAGCCGCTGGAGAAAGCCACAAATTTTGGAGGACACTTTATAGGAATTCAGAACAAATCAAGTAGACACCTATAATTTCTCCAGTCAGGGGAATTTACCCAGAGGTCCTCTGGACATCTTTTAGAGAAGATAAACTGAGCTGGAATGAGAAAATGAAGGATGTATGTGTGCACACGAGAGAGGAGACACAGGCACAGGTGAGCACAGAGGAGATAAAGGCTGGAAGACACAGCCACCACAGGACTTAAAAAAACACACAAAACCCTCTAAAGCGCTACTAATAGTTATGTTTGGCAACAAGCATAAATTTGGTCTGTCCCAAACCCTGACATGTGATAACTCAAGTATTAGGTCATTTTAAAGAATGATTGTTCATTTTTTTAGGTTGATATTTTTAAAATGTCATCTGTTAGAAATACATATGATTTATAGGTACAATGATAATGTCTGTGATTTGCTTTAAAACACTTCATGGAGGAGGTGAAGAGTGGTGGGGAGGGAGATACATGAAATAAGATTTATCAAAATATTAATTTTTAAAAAAATATTTTTTATTTTAGAAAGAGAAGGGAGAGGGAGAGAGAGAGGCAGGAGGAGAGGGGGAGAGAGGGGGAAGGGGAGGGGAAGGAGAGAGAGAGAGAGAGAGAGAGACAAGAGACATCAATTAGCTGCCTCTTGCATGCTCTCCATTGGGGATTAAGCCTGCAGCCCAGGCAAGTGCCCTGACTGCGAACCGAACTGTAGTCCAGTGCACAGGACTACGCTCAACCAACCGAGCCACACTAGACAGGGGCATCAAAATGTTAATTTCTGAAGTTGAGTGATGGGTATATGAGGGTTCTTTATACTGGTCTCTCTACTTGAATGTATGCCTGGAATTTTCCGTAATGCAAATTTACTATTTTGTTAAACCCCCTTTCCCTTTCTACAGGAGCCATATGGCCTCAGAAAACCCAGCCACCTCCTGCACTGTCGCCAAATATGACCTTGTCCTCGATGGGTTAACCACCAATACTGATCCCACCTCACATTTGACTATTATATTTTTCTCCCCTTACATACCACAAATAGCGATCATTTATTGAGTTCTTGCTGTATGCCAGGCACGTGTACTCTTCAGTACTCACAGCCCATGAGTTAAGGGGTGGGCACCAGTCCACGGTCTCACCTGAGACACTGAGGAACCGAGAGCCTGGCTGGCTTACACAGAGTTCCACAGCTGGATCCTCATTCCAAAGCCCCTGTCCTTAGCCACTGTGCTCTTTACCCATCTGGAAACGGGAGAGATTCTGATTTCACGAAGAGTGGGGTGGATTATTAAGGATGAAAGAAATATTTTAAATGATCTTTCAGGATTGTTGGCACGAAGATGACACTATATTCCAGATTTTCCAGTTATGGTCTCAACTATTCTGAAACCATAAACTCCCTAAGCACAGGCATTTTCCATGTGTCCCGACTACTCATTTAAAAAACAGGGCCAATAGATCCGCAGAGAAAGGCCCAACAATGAAACCACTGACAGGTCTGGTGTCTTAAGGCTTTTGGTTCTGGGTTGCTCAGAACACTGGACGTATGATCTCAGCCCCGCTCTGCCGGAACTGTCATCCCAAACAATCCCGACATTGTGACCTCCCAGCAATCCCCACCTCAAAGGACTGGACCAACAGGAACGGGCAGGAAGACAAAAGACAAAAACACAACATGACCTTCTGAGCTAAGATCACTGCCGAAAAGACAAAACAGAACTTGTGGGGCCTCCAGAGAAGGCCCTGAGGCTTTGCACTGGCTTTGCTTTGTCCTTTAAGGGAGTTTTTGCTTTTCCTTAGATTAAAAAAAAAAAAGTGATAGGTCTGAAACTAGGATCTGAAAGTCTTACATGTAGCCCAGGGCTAAAGAAATCAGCACCCAAGTAAAACCAAGGGGCAGGGGAAACTTAATTGTTTTGTGGTGTTGAAAGAGGTTGGTGGATTTTAATGGCCTCTTATTAATTGTCAAAGCTGTGGCTCCGATTCCATGGGGGAGAGTAGAAACCCAAATGATCACAATCTCCAGGGCCTTTGGAAATAAAAGAAACATGTCATTGGCCTCTGCCCAGCCCTGACATCCGAGATCACACCTAGAATGAAGGGAGTGCTTTCCCCAGTCAAGCATCTTCATGACATCATGGTTTTGAACCAGTCCGGTGCCTGCTAATCCTCTCCCTGCCTTGGGGGTATAGGCCAGAGGGCTGGCATCCTGCCAGGCTTGTCTCCACCCGGGAGAGCTAAGAAATTTCGAAACAGATCTGGAACAAGGTCCCTGCTGACTAGCACAAGGCCCGCAGCTCTTTCCACAGCAGCAGGTGGTCAGAGCAGCAGCTATAAAACCTGAGATGCGAAGGGAAGATACCAGTAAGTTGAATCTCACCTGCTAAGTCACCTTGCACTTGTACGTCCCATGAAGATGCACAAGGATGAGCAGAAATGCATTTAGAGAACGGTCCTTAACTCCTCAAAGCATTGCCACCGGCGATCTTTCTCTCCTTACCCTCTCAATATCTCAAGAATAGATGAGGAAACTCATCACTGCTGTGACTTGCTGGAGATGCAGAGCTCCGCAGTACCAGAGCTGGGCCAAGAATCCTGATCTCCCAACAGACAGAGCGTCCTCTCTCCGTGAAGACGCTGCCACAGTGGCTGTGGAGGCTCATGCTACCAGGCTGGCCTAACACACATACAACATCGATGGCAAAAATAGATGCGGGAGTGAGAGAAGGGACATGCGATCAGGACAAAACCAAGCTCAACACTTTTTTCCTTTTTTATTCTGGAAAGCTTCAAACACACATAGGTAGAGAGAATAGGACAATAAACCCACAGGTACCCTCCACCCAGCTACAATGATCAACTCACGGCCACTCCTGTGAAACCAGTTCTCTCGATTCCCACTAGTGCCCAGCGTGCCAAACTGCTTCGCAGGTGAGAGGCAAGTGACTGCCATGGCTTGGCACCTGCTTGGAACTCCCTAAGTCCTCCAGCACCCGGGGCTGACATAGCCACAGAGGCGGCAGAGATAAGCCTCAGAGGAAGGGGCTTTGGATAGACTGGATGGTGAGAAGAGGTCACAGAGTTAGTTATCAGGTGACTCTAGACCAGGGGTCCTCAAACTACGGCCCGCGGGCCACATGCAAATACAAATATTGTATTTGTTCCCGTTTTGTTTTTTTACTTCAAAATAAGGTATGTGCAGTGTGCATAGGAATTTGTTCATAGTTTTTTTTTAAACTATAGTCCGGCCCTCCAACGGTCTGAGGGACAGTGAACTGGCCCCCTGTTTAAAAAGTTTGAGGACCCCTGCTCTAGACTCTGGGGCCTGCATCAGAGAAAACAAATTTGACCTGGGATGGCTCTGGCAAGTCTAGGAGTTTGATCAGAAATTGACAAATGCTGAGATTAAATTTAATTCAACCAACTTTTTAAAAAATCCTCACCTGAGGATATTTTTTTCCATTGATCTTTAGAGATGTAGAGAAAGAGTGGAAGGGAGAGAGGAGGGGGGAGAGAGATAAACATCAACACATCAACTGGTTGCCCCCCCCCCCCCCAACCAAGACGGGGGGGGGGGGGGGGGAATGATCCTGTAACCGAGGTTCGTGCCCTTAGCTGAGAATTGAACCCAAGACCCTTTAGTCCGTGGGTTGGTGCTCTAACCACTGAGAAAAACCAGCCAGGGCTCAACCCACTTTTGTTAAGGGATTCCTACATGCAATGTTGGGCCCATAAAGATAAATACAGATTGGTGGCTTGTGAGGCTCAGGTCTACAGGCTGAATATCCTGGAACTTCTCTGCAAAGGGGGCCAATCAGTACAAGAGCCTAGAAGAAAGAGGTCAGAGGTTGATGCATCAGACGGTAACAGGGACTCTGTTCTGAGTTCCCACTGGGCTCTCCCATGTCACCTCACTATGGTTCACTCCCTGAGTGTGAGCACCTTTTGTGATTTCCACTTGCTAGTGATGGGCTACTACCACCTTCTGAAAATGCTCCACTAAATCAGACTGATCACCTGCCCAACTATGAGAGAGGAAGAGCTCTGTGCCCCCTTTCTGAGGATGGCGCCCCAAAGAAGGGGCAAGCACAACCAGGAGTAGCATCTCTTGAGAACAAAACCAGTGAGGAGAAACAGCAAAGTATCATAATTAAGATCCCGTGTTCTGGCGCCAAACAGGCCTGGGTTTGAATACTGGCTCAACACTAATGAATCCTGTGACCTTAAATCATGTGCTCAACTTCTCTGAGCCTCAGTTCCATTTTGAAATCGAGGGCAATAATATTTGCAAAAGAAGGTAATACTATTAGGTTGAACCATACAAAGTTGGCAATTTCATAGACCACACTCTGCCGGGTTTTTGTTTTTGTTTTGAGAATTAAAGAAAGTATTACTAAATTCTGGCACACAGTAAGCACTCAATAAATGATGGCTACCGTCAACAAAGGCAAGCCCACCATGCCCTGGGCATGTGAGGTGGGGCCCGCGGATGTGTTATCACCAGATCCATCTCGAAGATGACTTTATTTAAAAATGATGTTATCTCTTTATTTCTGAAAGCTGAACCAAAAGGTAAATGATGAAAAGTAAGATTTCTTCCTATCCCTGTACTTCATCCATAGTTCTACTCTGTAGCAACCTCTGTTATGGATTTCTGTGTCTTTCAGAGATAATCAGTGTATAAACAAACATTCATGTATATGTTGCATACACACACACACACACACACACACACACAGAATGGTGGCACACTGAATTTAATATAACCTAGAGACCTTCCTGTATCAATACACATCTCTGCCCCATTTCCCCTCCATGCTTTTAACAGCTTTACTGTATTGTATTGTGTGGCTACTACATTAATTTACAGTTATGTGCCACAAAATAATGCTTCAGTCAGTGATAAAGTGCATATACAAGGGTTCCCAAAAGATAATGGAGCTGAAAAATTCCTCTTGCTTAGGTACGTCACTGTTGTCATAATGCACGTGACTCACATGTTTGTGGTGATGCTGATGTAAACAAACGTACTGCGCTGCCAGTCGTAGAGAAGTACAGCACATACAATCACGTACAGTACATAATACTGGATGATAACAACTATGTTACCAGTCTATGTATTTACTACACAATACATTTTATTGTTACTTTAGACTGTACTCTTTCTACTTATTAAAGTCTCTTAATGGCCTCACTTTGTCTTGTGATTGATTTAATCTCATGTTTTGTATAGTCACATGCTGCCCAGGCTTATAACCTAAGAGCAATAGTCTAGTGCAGTGGTCGGCAAACTCATTAGTCAACAGAGCCAAATATCAACAGTACAACGATTGAAATTTCTTTTGAGAGCCAAATTTTTTAAACTTAAACTATATAGGTAGGTACATTGTTATTAACTTAATTAGGGTACTCCTAAGCTGGCCTTTGCTAAAAACGTCCTCAATCTGATTGAGGTACGTTCGCTGAGGTCGACCCCTTCCAACTCTCCCATCCACACTCGTCTTGTATACTTGTTTCGTCTATCTCCTTTCCGAAAACCAACTTCTGAGCATGGGCCACGAAGTTTCAATCGCACTGTACGTGCCCGCCCGCCCGCACGTGGTATTTTGTGGAAGAGCCACACTCAAGGGACCAAAGAGCCGCATGTGGCCGCGGTTTGCCGACCACTGGTCTAGTGTATAGGAGGCTTACCACCTAGGTTTAAGTGCACTCCGTGATGTTCGCACACGATGAAATCGGAAAATCGTCAAACTCGCCAACTGCTGCATTTATCAAAACATACCCCCATCATTAAGTGGTGCTTGACTGTATTTATGAGTCTCTTTATTGACTGATATTTGGTTGTTTGAAACCTTTTGTTAAAATAAACAATGCTGCAATGAATATTCAATGAGTATACACATCAGACTATATCTGAAGGATAAAGTCCTGAAATGGAATTGCAGGGTTAAGTAATTTACATTTTTAAATGGCCAAATAGTTCAAATTGCCCTCCTTTGAGGCTATTCTAATTCATACTCCAGTCAACAAAAAGTGCCCATTTCTCCACAGAGGAGGGGAGGGGGCAGTTTTGAATTAGTTTTTGACAGAAGGGAGAGAGGGCTCAGCAGCCAGCCTGCTGGGAAGTCACCTGGATCAGGAGTGTGAGGCACCCTACCATAGCATGTATAAGGCGCTCTGCAACCCGCAAGGAGCACAGATTCTGCACACAGATACCAGCCTCACAGAGACAAGACGGGGCCAGGAGGAGGAGCGCAGGGGGAGGAGGGGAGGAGAGTGGAAGGTACAAACTTCTCCCTCTTAGCTGGTGATTCCTGAAGAGCGCAGAAGGTGCATCACATTTTCTCAGCTGTTAGTGTTAATGAGTTGGGGAGCACAGGGTGTACCCCACCCTAACCCAGCTCTGAGCAGACCCCCCCTCAGCAGCCTACCGGAGGGAGGGTGGCTGGACAGTGGACCAAACCCCTTGGAATTTAGGAGGCTTGGGTTTGGGTCTGGCCTCTTCCACTTTTTAGTTACATGAACTTGGGCAAATAATTTTTCCGGGTGTTTCCTCTTTTGTAAAATGGAGATAATCTGTAGAAACACTGGGATTGGTGTTTTATAAAGTGTTAAGTGATGTTACCCTACAGTGTCTAGCGCCTATGTCCCAAAAAGTCTGATGAAGGAACCAGTGACTTTTCCACTGAAATTGTTATTAAAACGATCTTTCAAGCAGAAGTTTCAGCTGGAATACGGTTCTTGTCTGGAAGGAGTTTTAATAAGGGGGATTCATAGCAAAAAGCTTAATGGGGATGTCCTGGTGGGGAGAGATCCAACAGGGAGCGGACTCTACTCCCAAGCCTCTGCCACCCCCCCCCCCAGGCCCCCTGGTCCCTAGTGACCGATTCCTCCCTGAGGCTCGTAGGACACAAAGCTCTTGGTGTCACTTGACGCCCAACTTGTTTTCTTTCCTGCAAGGCTGTCCTGCCTCTGGGCGCCCTAAGAGAACCACCGAGAAATCACAGAAGAGAAAAAGCTGAGATGAGGTGGGGAGGGCAGAGGGAGGGCTGAAACCGAGCGAGAGCACAGGCAACGCTGCGGAGAGCCTGCAAGTGCGCTCCGAGGGCCCCTCCCGGGAGCAACTGGATCCAGCCGGCCCCAAATCCCGGTTCCCCCAGAAAGTCTTCTCCTCGCCACCCCGTGCGGGTTCCCCAGCCTGACCCGCGCGGCTCCCGGCGCTCCCGGCAGCTGGGAGCTCGGTTCCAGGTGGAGAGGCACCTGCTCCTGAGTCGCCGTCCGGCCGCCGGGAGCCGGTCCTCCCCGCCCAGCCAAACACCCTCCGGGCGGGCGCACACCCCCAGCCCCTCCCTGCCCGCGGGGCGAACGGTGCCACTCACCTCCCTCGAGCTCGCGGGTACCCCCGCCGCGCACCCGGCACCCGGGCGCCCTCCGCGCGCGTCCGCCGCTGACCTTTGCGTCGTTTTCGTCCACAGCGGCCGCCGGGTCTCCGTTCCTCGGCAGCAGGGGTCGGGGTGGGCGGGGCGGGGCGAGGCTGGGGCCTGGAGGGGTGCCCGCAGGCTGGCCGCACAAAGGCGAGGCGAGGCAGGCGAGGCGAGCCGCACCTCCCCGCGCCCCATTCAACGCTCCGCCGCGCTCCCTCCGCCCCGCCCGCGGCTTAAAGGCAGAGCGCCGGCCGGGCTCGGGGCCCGCGGCCAGCACAGGAAATGACCTCAGCAGCTCCCGCTCCCACCTCTCCGCTCCGATCCGCTCCGCTCGTCCCGGCGGCGGGGCCCGTGCGCGGGGGGCTCTCCCGATCTCGGTTCCCCAGCTCTCCGCGGAGGCCGCCACCAGCTGCCGCACGGGGCGGCGAGGGCGCCTGGATATGTCCTGCTCCCAGCAAGCGCGGGACCCTCGCAGGAAGAGCGCAAGACCAGACCCCGAGCACCGCCGCCGCCGCCGCCGCCAAAGGAGGCTCCAGTCTGTGTCTGGCGACCTGTAAAAACTTTATCGCCCGGATGTTTAAGCAGAAGGTCTCATTGCAAACAATCTGTCCCACTGGGGGACCGATGTTCTGACTTGTAAGTTGGAAAGAAAAGAAAAGAAAGTCACCGAAGCCCAGGGTAACTTGCCTGCGTATGTATGTATGTATGTATGTATGTATGTATGTATGATGTATTTACTTATTTAAAGGAGCCGGCCCAGAAGGCAGAAAGGCAAACCGGACACTGCCTATGGCAGTTTCTTCATGCACCCTTGTTCTTCCAGGGCTTACAGTCCCTCAGCTCACCAGTATAATCCTACACCGGGGGTGTGGGGGTGGAGGTGGGGGGGGTTGGATCACTCAATTTTAGGTTAGGTGGGAATGGGGTAAAAGCTTTCCTCCCCAAAGGAATGAACAGAGGCAACACCACCAGGACCGGATTCTCCAAAGGGGCTTTAAGAAGACTCAGTCCAGGTGGTGGTGAAGGATCCCCTGGCTCCACCCCAGGTGTGAATCTGAACCTCTGGAGGTGAGCTGGGAAATTGCCCAGCTAACAAGTTCCCCAGGTGATTCTCACGCACAGTTTTGAGAGCCCAGACATTATGAAAAGATGGTCCAGTAGTTCAGGTGGCCAAGGGTGAAAGTTCAACTGGGCCAATTGGACCCCTGGGGCTGAACCTGCAAATAGATTCACAGCTCCTGGAGATTGGGATATAGGTCAGCTCCAGTCTGGGACGCTGGCCTCTCCTGTCCCCTTCAACACTCTGGAAATTGCCTAAGGAAGCCCAAAAGCAAGTCGTCTGCAGTTTGAAAGGGAGATCCATTCATTCATACATTCATTCACTTTGAATTTGTAACCATGTACATAGTATAAATTTCAAATAATGCAGAAGGGCTAACAATGAAAAGTCTTCCACCCTGTCCCTTCCTCCCCAAACACAACTACTGTTGTAAATTTGGTATCTTTTTTTAATTAATCTTCACCCGAGGATATTTTTTCCATTGATTTTTAGAAAGAGTGGAAGGCGAGGGAAAGAGAGAGAGAGAGAGGGAGAGAGAGAGAAAAACTGATGTGAGAGAGACACATTGATTGATTGCGTCTGGGGTAGGGATGGAACCTGCAACAACCCAGGCTCGAGCCCTTGACCAGAACTGAACCTGAGACCCTTTGGTATGCAGGTTGACTTTAATCACTGAACTACACCGGCCAGGGCTGTCATAAGTTTTTGTGTGTATCCTTTCAAGATATTTATGCATGAAAAAAAAGATATTTATGCATGCAAAAGTATTCATGTATTCATAGATGCATATGTATTCATATCCTTCTTTCAACACTAAGGAAACATCCCTTGCTTTTTTTCCTTTGACATTACCATTGTTGACTCTGAGTGTGACATATCAGCACAATTAAAGATGCCTTATTTTCAATGGTCCCTGAATATTTTTAATGATGGATATTTATGATGTTTTCAATCTCTGGCTATCATATATCTTGCTGCAATGACTGTCTTTGTCCATACTTCTTGGTCCACATATATGACTATGTTTTAATACTTAGAAGTGGAATTACTGGCTCTAAACACAATGGGAATTTTAAATTCCAAGAAATGCTGCCAAATTACTCTCAAAAGAGACTGCACCAACCTGTACTTCTATCAATGTGTGCGATTGGCCCTTCATTCCCGGCCACCACCACCCCTCCCCCCAGGGAAGTGATTTTTCACAAAGAACATAGCTTTGTGAACATTAAATGAGTTGATGTGCACAGACAATTTTAGAACGTTGCTAGCACAGAGAAAGGCTCAAGAAAGTGTTAGAGGTTAGTTCCCCTAAGCACACTCCTTTGTGTGGTAACCCCTGCTTTGGGGTCTGTTCCAGTCCCAGCTCTGTAAACTTGGGCAAGGTCCTTAGCCGCTTTGGGACCCAGGTTCCTTACCTTTGATATGAGAATGGTAATGTCTCTCTCTGAATTAAATCAGATAAAAGAGTTACATAAATTTTGGGATCCAATTATTGTTTAATAAGTGATAGCTATTCTTTTTCCCTCAAACTTTCCTCCCAACTTTTTGTTTTGAAAATTTCAAACCTACAGAAGTTACCAAAAAATTACCCATATACTCTTCACCTAGATTTACCAACTATTAACTTGTTACCACTTTCTCTCTCTCTCTTTCCCTCTCTGTCTCTCACCCATTTGATAGTTGTACACAACTTTATCTCCTTTTTTCATACAACTTTTTTATCCCCCGTTTTTACACAATTTTTCGACCATTTACTCCTGAATATTTAGCATGTACCTTTCTAAGAACAAGGGTGAACACACTAATATCACACTTAGAATATTTAACACTGATGCAATACTATCATGTTCCATGCAGGACATATTCTAATTTCCCCAGTTGTCCCAACAATGTTCTTTATAGCTGAGTTTTATAGCTCTTCTATTTATTTTTATTAGTTCCTACCTAATACTCACCAGAGTGAATGGATGGTTAGAAGAAAATGGGTTTGTCCCCGCCTCTGCTCCAGCGAGAGAGTGACTCCCACAGCCCTAGACGCTGGCATTCTTTGGGGGTTGCAGGTAAGCAATAACCAGGCATGAGGGCTGCTCACAGGCAGAGCAGTTTCCCATCTAATAACCAGGATTGTCCCACCAGCCACCCTTGCTGATGTTGACTCCTCTGCCTGACCCCAGCCACCCCGTGCTGGCTGCCAGCAACTCCCCCCACCTCTTGCAACTCTGGTTGGGTTTCTGGTGTCCTCTCTACAACCCCACTGGTCCCCGATCAGCAGAGGCAGCTGTTCTGACTCCAATGAGACCTGGCTCCTATATCACCCGGAACCACCCCACCCCATCCCACCTCACCTCAGGAATGAATCCCTATGACCTCTAGGCTGGTGTATCCAACTTAAACCTGAGATTAAGGGTTGGGATGACTGAGTCAGTGTCTTTTTCCTGTGATCTCTCTGTCCTATGGCACTTTCTATATGGCCCTTCCTGGAACTGAGGCTGAGGGCCAAATTGTGGCCTCTGGCCAAATCCAGACAATGATATCAGCTGACACCTATGTCCCTCTCGTAGCTGACTTTTAAGTTGTCCCAAGTGCGCCCCTCAGTGCCCAACTCTAAGCTTGAATGAACCATCTCCTTGCTTCCTGGCTCAATATGTCCTGTTGTAACGGGAGAAATGATTTCTTCAGCCTAGCTACCCTAGCTAGCTTCAGGTCAGAGAAGTTGAGAGCAGGAGAAAAAGGCAGGATTATAAAAGGGTTACCACAGCTGAGGGGGACTTTGTAAAACTGAAGTAAAGAAAAAGCCATCTTGGGCTGGTGCTGTAGTGGGAGAGGGAGGAGAGCAGGAAGGGCTGGGGGACCCGGGGGCCTGGGAAGCCTGCTGGGAAGGCTCTGACCCCCAGGCCCCTGTAAGGATCCTTGGAGAAATGGTACCCACCACACCTACAGCTCGTTCCGCTTGGTGGTAGCTTCTTATAAGTGGCCTACAGCAGAGAGAGAGGAAGAAAGCCACCATGTGCCCAGAGTCCAGGGGTCACTGGGTCACTGAAACTGAGGGCCTCCTTCTCTCTTCTGAGGGGAGGATGAGGCCTGGATGGGCCCTCATTGTGAACAGGTCTGGGCCAATGTGGCCCTTTGGCAGTCGTCAAGTTCTTTTCCTTTTTTAGTCCTCACCCAAGAATAGGATTTTTAAAAAATCCTTTTATTGGCTAGAGAATGAAACATTCTTTTTTTTCCCTTTTAATATATTTTTACTGATTTCAGAGAGGAAGGGAGAGGGAGAGAGAGATAGAAACATCAATGATGTGTGAGAATCATTGATTATTTACCTCCTGTATGCCCCCTACTGGGGATTGAGCCCGCAACCTGGGCATGTGCCTTTGACCAGAATTGAACCTGGGACCCTTCAGTCCACAGGCCAACACTCTGTCCACTGAGCCAAACCAGCTAGGGCTGATGTTACGGATTTTAGAGAGAGAAGAGAGAGAAACATGGATGTGAGAGAAAAACATTGATTAGTTGCTTCTCGTACGTGCCCCGACCTGGGATTGATGGAACCCGAAAGTCAGGTTCATATATTTGCAGTCACTAGAGATGAGAGGTGAGTGGAGGCCATTTGTCCCTTCCTACAGGTGGGATATTAAAAATGGCCGAGGCCAAAATCTGGCAAATATACAAACATGTATTAGCAGGCGGGCACAAAAAACCCACAGTCTTCAAGGGAGCTGGCCTGTCTGCTTTGTGCACATCCTTCGTGCGAGGGCCCAAGTCTATGGTCGGCAAACTGCAGCTCGCGAGCCACATGCGGCTCTTTGGCCCCTTGAGTGTGGCTCTTCCTAAGCCTTAGGAGTACCCTAATTAAGTTAATAACAATGTACCTACCTATATAGTTTAAGTTTAAAAAATTTGGCTCAAAAGAAATTTCAATCGTTGTACTGTTGATATTTGGCTCTGTTGACTAATGAGTTTGCTGACCACTGGCCAAAATCATCGTTCTGGCTATCTCCATGTTTTGAAAAGCACTTACTT